CTACGCAGTCGCGTGGGGAGGGCCACGTAGGGCAAGAAAGAGAGAGAGAGAGAGAGAGAGAGAGAGAGAGAGAGAGAGAGAGAGGGGGGGGGGGGGGGGGAGGGAGAAGAGGGGGAGAGTGTACTGTGACGAGAGGTGACATATTTGATCCAAAACCCTCGGCGATGCCCTTTTTTTTTTTAATGCAAACGACAACTCTTGTTCTTTCCTTGCCCTGTTCTTTCCTTGCCCCGCTGTCCCTTCAAGGATGACTGCAAATGGTAAATAGGGGGGGGCAGGGGGTGTAGGGGTGCAAGGAAAAGGGTGTGGATCTGTCCGAGAAATACATTTTGTTGTTGTCAAGATGGAGCCCCACCCCACAAGGATGTCAGGAGGGCCTGGAATTATACTAGGTACCTGCGAATGTGATAATGCTAGGTAGTGTGGATTGTAATGAATTGCATGCAGCAGCTGTTGCATTGCTCTCTGTTTGGGTGCGCCTATATAATGATCTTCTGCCCTGTTGAGGATGGATGGATCTTGTTGATGTTCAAGCCTTTTTGTGATGATAGTGTCGAAATTGCTCCACCTCTTCGTCTTCCTCTACCTAGTGCATTTTTCTCTGTCTCTGTTTCGGTGCCTATGTAATCACCATTCCTCCTGGAGAGTATGTCTGACTCTCCTGAGACCATTTAGGTCTGTTTGGTAAGATGATCTTCCCCGAAATACCTCCTCCTCCTCCTATGGTTGGTATCCCCTATTGATGCATGTGCGGAACGCCAAGAGCAATGCCGAGGAGCCGAAGGACCAGCGAAGTGATGATAAGGACTTGTACAATACAAAACGACATCAAAGTGCAATGCGTATCAATCCAGTCGTAGAATGATATAATGTAGCAGCGGAAGACTCAAAATACGACCTGGCACATCGGGCACTGACCCGACTCGTCCCACCGATCATCACACATGCGAGGAAAGAGGAGGGGCCGCACACATGGAAGAAAGGTCCCTCCTTGCACACACACATGGGGAGCATACCACGGATGAAGGGAGGAGGACGAACAAAACGAAGATGGAGGCAAGGGAGTAGACTTGAGTCGAAAGCACCACTGTCCAGAGATAGTCTCCCTGACAAGTGTCCAATCGATGTCTGCCCCAAAAATGTCGGATCAGATCCTGGGCACCATCACCTGACATAGCTCTGCCTGTAATCTCTCTCTCTCTCTCTCTCTTTCTCTCTCTCTCTCTCTCTCTCTCTCTCTCTCTCTCTCTCTCTCTCTCTCT